GGTGTTTCCAATCCATAAATTGTCCATATATTTTTCGTAAATTTTCTTGGTTTTGTCCGGTAGTATATTATTACCTGCATTTGTCGCCCTTTCTGTAATTTCTGGAGGTGTTGGTGAAAATTCTTCGTTATCACTCAATATTTCCATAATAATGCCTTTTCCCAAACTTTATGTATTAACTTTTAATAACAATTTGAGGTAATTTTTTTAATAAAATTATTGTTTTTCGCGAAATTACCATGGAAAAGCTTTAAACAGAGTGCTGCCAACACTCAAAAAAAAATTAAATTTTTTTAACTGGTGGCGCCATCTATTGACAATGTATAATAATGAAAAAAGTAAAAATTCTTCTTTATCATTCATTATTTCCATAATAATAGGTTCGTTCCAACCCCCGTTTTCGTATCGTCATGAAACGGTTTCGGAACTGTTAGGATCGATTGCAGGCGCATGCGTTGACCTTGCACGGTTTTATCTTGGTACAGAAACAACGGGTAGTTGGAACGGTTTTATGATCGTTTTCGTAATGGCGACAGTTCAAATAACTTTAACCCTTAATTTGTTTGTTTGCAAATTAAAATAGAAGAATATAGGATTAGGATTACAAAATAAAATATAAAAAAGGAAAATCGAACACCAACGCTGATTCATTATCAAGAATCTGAAACTGAATCCATGCAAGCTGATAACATCAAGGATTAGCAATAAATAGCTGATAATAAATTTTGTACTTTTTTTCACTTGAAAAAATAAAAATGCTACAGTTTTATAAGTTAGATTGGAAATTGGTTGTTTAACAACAACATTAACAACAACAACAGGTGACAAAAATTGAATTACGCATGTCAGTCATGGATCAGTCCACGCGGTTCTTGCTTTCTACTCGGGATCGAAATGACGGTGCTAAAACCAGTTCTCGCACGATCCCAGGTTTGGTTGGAACGCCAACGAAACTGTACGGTAAACGATCATCTCTCGGTTGGAACGCGTTTAACCTATGGCGCATGACCGTGACCGTACATTGAACGGTTTTTGGCTGGGTTGGAACGAACCTAATTATTCTTCGTCCCAAACTTTAGGTAACTTTTAAACAATTCGGAGTCTTTCTTATAGTTATCAAAATAATTGTTTTATGCAAAATTACCGTTTAAAATGTTTAATATCTTAACTAGTGCTGCCATCTATCAACATTGTATAATATTAAAAATGAGTGTTATAATGAAAATCTGTATCGTAATAAAGTTCATTTTGATACAGATTTTAATCGTTTAATAGCGTATTATGAAATGTCAGTAGAAAAAAAAATTATTCGTTCTTTTTTATCAGCTTAAATTGAAACCGGATCGAAAAATGCTTCAAGCAAAAGTTACTTGTTTTTTTCTGTAGAATAAGATTCTGTAATAAAAAAAATATATTTCCATTAAAAAAAAAAGAGTTGACCTTGAAATAACCTTGAAAACGTTGTCAAAGTCAAAAAATCAGTACCGCCATTTTATTTCCCACATGATACCATGTAACTTTTATTTGAACTTTTTTTTTTTAAAAACGCACCGTTTTCGAGATATTAGACTGTCTGAAGTTAAATGGACCACCCTGTATAGGCATGCTGACTCTAGTTGTCCTAACATAATGCTATCTGACCATGTGCGTCATGTTTTTTATCAAATAAACAATGGATTGAGAGATTTTCAGCTGTCATGAAACTCTTTCATCGCGATTATTTTTTTACACATTCAAAGGTGCGTGGGCGTAGCTTGTCCCGCTACCTCACTTGCTGACTCGAGTATAGTTATATACATCGCAAATACAAGCTTATATTACATTTTCAGCTTTCATGAAACTCTTGTACTTTTTTGGCGCTGGCTCTCCGACTATTAGACAGTCTGGAGAACTCGTTCCAAAACTGGTCGCGATAAAATAATGGCGTTTTCCATTTGTTGCACGGAGGTGCACTCAGTGCAATTTTTACATTCCATTTGACTGCACATTATCAATTTTTATTTTCCATTTGAAATCCAGTGAAATTATGTATGCACCTAGTGCGCATTTTTTGGCACGAGCTAGGAAGGCTCGTGGAGACCCAGTGCAGTTTGTTTTGTTTTTGTTTACATGTGGAGGGTGGAAGGGCGCCAAAATTTGGACTTGCCTTGGGCGCCGAGGGTTCTAGTTGCGGCCCTGCTAGTAATATATTGTAACAAGTTATTCAAGTACAAACGGATGGATTGTTGCGTAACTTATGGGTGGATCCAGCCATCTATTCACCAATATATTGTTCAAGTACAATACCTATACTAATATAACCTGATTCACTCAGTTGTACATTTTTCTTATTAGTTCAAAAACTACATGTTTGAGGTAAGTGTCTTATTTGATCAGTTCAACAGTTTATTGGTGAGTAGATAGCTGCGGAACTCGCTGCGCTCGTCCCGCAGAGGTCCACCCATAAGTTTCCGCAATAATCCATTTATTTGTATAGGATGTTTTTTATATATTGACACCCCACCTACAGCATTTACCTACCTTTACAAGTAGAAGAAAGGTGTAAATACAAAAGTTGTACAGTTTTGGCTGAATTTTTAAAAACCATGGTCAGAATCAAAATTTGAATGTCAGAAATATTAAATTTTGTATGCTTCCAGCTTTTTTCAAATGGGATGCCCTGTATTTCATTCTATAAGTACAATACCCCGATCTATATTTAATTGTGCAATCTCTCATATATTCGGCTCCAAAAATATTGTAAAAATACTATAACTATACTATACTACGTACTGATTTTATAAACCATATTCTATCTGTACAGGAAAAAGCTGCAAGTAAAATTTGAGGTAGGTACTTGGTTTCTCTGATAGTATTTTTAAAATTTTTAGAACCAAATATGTGGGGGACGGCTCAACCAAATATAGACAAACTAGTTTTGAAATTAGGAAAATGTACTCTTCATGAATATATTGTGACGGTCGCCAGTGTGTCAAGAATGGACTGTCGAATTCCCTAGCTAGAAATTGCAGATTCCTATTAATCTGGTAAATTCTACTTAATCGAGAAAAGGGGAGTTATCGCGTGGGTTCCAGATTTTACAGGAATAGATTTAGGGCTAAATTATGGACTGACTGGTAAACGTCTGGTTGTTACCTAGCAGGTACTTTCTATGCACTAGAGAATAGAAAGTACCTGCTAGGTAACAACCAGACACTTACCAGTTGGTCCATAATTTGGCCCTTAGGGAATATATAAAAGGCCGCTATTGCATGCAAATATATAGCACATCCCATTTGAAAAAAGCTGAAAGTATTAGTCTAGGAGGCAGTGACGATTTTCGGTACTTATTTTCTCAGTCAGAGAACATGGATAGAATCGTAGGGTTAGTAATTCTAAGCAAAATACATATATTTTTAGGGGGGGTTTTCCGATGGGTTGAAGCGCAAAATGCGTTAAAGCTCACGAATGGACGGCCCTTTTTTTCCTCAGTGATAAAAATAGGTCTTATAATGCGAAATCTACTGAAGTTATGTAAAAAAATAGTCCGGCTAATCTGTGAGTATGGATAATATGTCTGGCAAGTGAAAAATTGTAGACCCGAAAATTTTCAGACTCACTTCCACTATCTGAGATAAGCCAAATTGCTATTTTCATATACTTTATGTTCTATTGTAGTGAATGTGAAATATTTATGTCTGGGAAAATAAGCCTACTTGTATTTTTTAGTGATCTTGTGAACCCATCCGAAAATTTTAGCCAGACGCAAAAATTCTTGTTTTGTATCACCAGGAGAACAAACTATTGGATAGATACCAACTGGGAAAATAAGTGCTAAAAAATTTCACTGCCTCCTGGACTATATGCAATATTTCACATTTCTGACATTCAATTTTTGTTTCTGATCATGGATTCTAAAAAGTTTAGGCAATACTGTACAACTTTTGTATTTACACCTTTCATCTACCTGTAAAGGTAAAGGCTGTAGGTGGGGTGTCAATATATAAAAAAACACCCTGTACAAATAGGTAATTCCTAACCTAATTTTATTTGTGTGTTCAAGAAGTAACATACGTAAAGTCACTAGAACGACTAGTATGTACTTCTAAATAGGCATTAAAAATTCTATACCTTATACATAAGTACTTTAGATTTTTGTAAACTTTGAAAAATCATAACTTTTTTCTATTAGATATGGAAAGCTGAAATTTTCAGCGATTCTTATCCCAGTAGAGGACTATACAATCGCTGAAAATTTCAGCTGATTTAGATTCATAGTTTCAGGAATAAAATCTCGTTAATCTAGACGCAAACTGATATAATTCTATACTAAAATTCAATCTAGAATCTCGCTTCAATCTTAAAACAAATTGATAGAGTTCCATAGATAATGAGAAAAAAATCATAGGGATGTTGGCCGAAACATTCTACATTACGTTATTTTATCAATCTATAGATAAGTACAAGAATTCAATCTTGAATCCCAGTTGACAGTTCAATCTAGAAACAAATTGATAGAATTCTAAATTCTAGAATCCTTGAGGTGGGATTCTAGAAGTAAGAGTTATTTTAGAAATAAATTGACAAAAGAATTCAATCTATGTAGAATCCGAGTTCAAATTGAATTCTAGCAGATACAAATTCAAGAATTCTATCTAGAATTCCACCATCTGGCCCATTAGCTCAGTTGGTTAGAGCGTCGTGCTAATAACGCGAAGGTCGCGGGTTCGATCCCCTCATGGGCCAAATATATTTTTTTCGTTTTACTTCATTCTATCGACAACAGAGACACCTACATTTATCTTCAACAGCTGCTAGTAGTGTCTAAGAAGATTCTATAGATATTTGAATAAGCCCCGGTAGTTCACAGATGGCGCTTTCTCGTATCGCTTAAGAATCAATAGTTTGGCCACGTTGCCGGATGTAGCAAAAATAAGCACTTTTTATGGCATTTATTACGTCAAAATAAAACAAATTTATATTGACATAGATTTATACTTGGCAACATTGTCAGAAATAATCTTAAAATTAAATTATTATGACCTTGCTTGGTTTATTAATACAAACACCACAAAAACCTTAATAAAAGAGTGTTAAAATTCTTTAAAAAAAATTATCAATTAACAATTTCAAGTGAGCAATCAGTTGCGCACAGTGTCACGTGACTACTAGTAGAAACGACCAATCAAAAGCATCGATTTTGCGCCCTAGAGATTTCAAATAGAGGGCTGAAAAGGGGAAACCCTCACTCACCTTTGTGCTGCTGGGCTACCATCGGTAAAAGTAGTTTTATAGTGAGTTTTTTAAACAACTATTTGATTCTATAAGAAAAAGGTAAGTATTTTTTTTATAAGATTTGTGCATTAGAATTCAATTGAGGGGGGGGTTTTTCATACAATTTTTGGGGTGGTGGTTAAAAGGAAAATGGAAAAAAAATCAATAGCCTGGATGAGGTAATAAGAAATCTGGAAAAGTGGAAAAATTGATTGTTCCATTTTTTTTTTTTCAAAAGTTGTTAGCACTTCATTTTGGCAGTTTAATTTGCTTAAGCATGAATTTTTAGTGATCGTTTATTAATGTAAGATTTTGGAATATTAATTATTAATAATCCAAAATCGTTGTTGCATCCAAATTTATTGCATTTTTGAGTTGTGTACTGGGGCCAATCCTACTATCGAAGAAAATTAAATGCCAGCAGGACCTGGAAACGCCAGTGGTGGCGGTTCGTACGTGTCGATGGGTACGCAGGGGGGCGGCGAAAATGTTTACCGCCCCACGACGGTGCCGGAAAGCGCCACCACCACTGGACTTCTGGACGGAATGAAACGGTATTTTGGATTTGCGAGAGACGACGCTGATAAGGTGGGATCTGTGTCTACAAGGTAAACTACACACATACACACACCCTGTAGAATTATTGTAAAAATGTTGCTTTTTTGTGTCAGAAATTTGTATTATTGGGTGTACAGCGTTTTATAATCTATCCTACACTATACCTTTCTCTCTCGTTTTCAATTGCTAATCGATTCCAATCCTAGTAGGCCAGTTATGTTTCTCTTACTTTATCCTTATGAGATAGAGAAAGATAGGTATAAAGGTATAACCATAGTTTGAAGTTGATATTTGTATTGAACTGTCAATAATTAATAATTAATAGGCTGTATAAACTAATCCCATAATATGCAATATGACAATAGCTTTGTTTTGGTTTAACTCATAACTAGTACGGAATTAATTATTCTGCACATGCGCATATTATAAAACACGTTTTGGTTTTTCCAGAAATCGTAATCGAACTGTATTGACAGTGTTTTGGTTCATCTAGAACCTTTTAAGAACAATCTGGGATTGTTCTAGAACGGTTCTCTCAGTTCTTGCTCTGAAAGAGGAATTGTTTTAGAATTATTTTGTGTTTTGGTTTTAGTTCCGAATCGGTTCAGAACTAGTATTAGAACAATCCTCCATTATTTTTTGTACGCAAGCAGTTCTGCGCAATCCCAGAACCATTCCAAATTTCGAACTAAAACAAAACTATTGAATCAGTTTTTGGCTCAGAACTATGTTATTTCTGAGCCGATTTTGATGACTATTTTTTCAAATTGAAGCCAAATAAATTCTCTACAAATCTGTCATTTCAGTTTTGAGAGTTTCATAACTCAGAATCAAAATTTCTGCTCAGAAATTTCAATTTCAAGTGAACTAACAGGCATTTTTCAAAAAACGACATTAGCTTTGTTTTGGTGCGAAATTTGGAACGGTTCTGGGATTGCGCAGAGCTGCTTGTGCACAAAAAATAATAGAGGACTGTTCTAATACTAGTTCTGAACTAAAACAACCAAAAAACAATTCCTCTTTCAGAGCAAGAACTGAGAGAACCGTTCTAGAACAATCCCAGAATTGTTCTCAAAAGGTTCTAGATAAACCAAAACACTGTCAACACAGTTCGATTACGATTCTGAAAAAACCAAAACGAGTTTTATAATATGCGCATGTGCAAAATGATTCCGAACTAATTCTGAGTAAAACCAAAACAAAGCTATTGAGTCAGTTTTTGGCTCAGAACTTCGGTTAATTTAAATTAATTTTAAAAAAAATTAAATCAATTAAATTCTCTACAAAGCTGTCAATTTATTTTTCAAAAAGGACATTGAGTCAGTTTTTGGCTCAGAACTTCGTTAATTATGAGATGATTTTGATGATTATTTTCTCAAATTGAAGTCAATTAAATTATCTAAAAATCTGTGATTTCAGTTTTGACAGTTTTTAAACTCAGCTGTCAACTTAGTTTTGACAGTTCAAAATTCAAAATTGCTGCTCACAAATTCCAAAATTCAAGTGAGCCAACAGACGTTTTTCAGAAAACGACATTGATTCAGTTTTTGGTTTAGAAATTCGTTAATTCTGAGCCAATTTGAAGCCAATTAAATTCTCTAGAAATCTGTCATTTCAGTTTTGACAGTTTCTTAACTGATAAACTTCCAAATTGCTGTTCAGGAATTTCAAAATTCAAGTGAGCTAACAGACCTTTTCCAAAAAATGACATTGAGTCAGTTTTTGGTTCAGAACTTTGTTGATTCTGAGCCGCTTTCGATGATTTTTTCTAAAAAAGGAAGCCAATTAAATTCCTAACAAAGCTGTCAACTTAGTTTTGACAGTCTCGTTGCTCAGAATCTTCAAAATTTAGAAATTACAATGAGCGAAATTAAAAAAAAAAAAAACGACAATGAAGCAGTTTTTGGCTCAGAACTTCGTCATTTTTGAGCCGATTTTAACGATTCTTTAATCAAATTGAAGCCATTTAAATTATCTAAAAATCTGCCATTCCAGTTTTGACAGTTTCATAACTCAGAAGCTTTAAAATTGCTGCTCAAAAATTTCAAAATTCAAGTGAGTTAATAAACGTTTTTCAAAAAACGTCATTGAGTCAGTTTTTGGCTCAGAACTTCGTTACTTCTGAGCCGATTTTGATGATTCTTTTTTCAAATTGTAACCAATCAAATTTTCTACAAATCTGTCATTTCAGTTTTGACAGTTTCATAACTCAGAAGCTTCAAAATTGCTGCTCTAATTTCAAAATTCAAGTGAGCCAAGAGGCCTTTTTTAAAAAACGACATTGAGTCAGATTTTGGCTCAGAACTTCGTTATTTCTGAGCCGATTTTGATAAATATTTTCTTAAATTGAAGCTAATTAAATTCTCTACAAATATGTCATTTCAGTTTTGACAGTTTCATAACTCAGAAGCTTCAAAATTGTTGTTCAGGAATTTCAAAATTCAACTGAGCCAACAGGCCTTTTTCAAAAAAACTACATTGAGTCAGTTTTTGCCTCAGAACTTCGTTAATTCTGAGATGATTTTGATGATTATTTTTTCAAATTGAAGTCAATTCAATTCTCCAGAAATCTGTCATTTCAGTTCCGAGAGTTTCATAACTCAGAAGCTTCAAAATTGCTGCTCAGAAATTTCAAAATTCAAGTGAGCCAACAGGCATTTTTCAAAAAACGACATTGAGCCAGTTTTTGCCTCAGAACTTCGTTAATTCTGAGATGATTTTGATGATTTTTTTTTTAAATTAAGCCAATTGAATTCCCTACAAAGCTCTTAAGGTAGTTTTGACAGTTTCGTTGCTCAGAAACTTCAAAATTTAGAAATTACAATCATCAAAATTTTTTTTCAAAAAAAAAATTACATTTAGTCAGTTTTTCGCTCAAAACTTCGTTATTTCTGAGCCGATTTTGATGATTCTTTCCTCAAATTAAAGTCAATTAAACCCTCTACAAATCTGTCATTTCAGTTTTGACAGTTTCATGACTCAGAAGCTTTAAAATTGCTGCTCAGTAATTTCAAAATTCAAGTGAGCCAACAGTCCTAAAAAACGACATTGTCAGTTTTGCCTCAGAACTTTGTTAATTCTGAGCCGATTTTGATGATTTTTTTTTTAAATGAAGCCAATTAAATTCTCTACAAAGCTGTCAATTTAGTTTTGACAGTTTTGTCACTCAAAAGCTTCAAAATTTAGTAATTACAATGAGCAAAATTAAAAAAAAAAAAAAATTACATTGAGTCAGTTTTTGGCTCAAAACTTCGTTATTTCTGAGCCGATTTTGATAATTCTTTTTTCAAATTGTAGCCAATTAAATTATCAACAAATCTGTCATTTCAGTTTTGACAGTTTCATAACTCAGAAGCTTCAAAATGCTGTTCAAAAATTTCAAAGTTGGATAAGTGAGCCAACAGGCGTTTTTCGAAAAACGATATTGAGTCAGTTTTTGGCTTAGAACTTTGATAAATCTGAATCGATTTTGATGATTTTTTTTTAAATGGAGTCAATTAAATTCTCTACAAAACTGTCAATTTAGTTTTGACAGTTTTATAACTCAGAAGCTTCAAAATTGCTGCTCAGAAGTTTCAAAATTCAAGTGAGCCATTAAACGTTTTTCAAAAAACGACATTGAGTCAGTTTTTGGCTTAGAAATTCGTTAATTTTGAGCCGATTTTGATGATTTTTTCTAAAAATTAAGCCAATAGAATTCCCTAAAAAGCTGTCAATTCAGTTTTGACAGTTGTGTCACTCAGAAGCTTCAAAATTTGGAAATTACAATGAGCAAATTTTTTTTTTCAAAAAAAACAACATTGAGTCAGTTTTTGGCTCAGAACTTCGTTATTTTTGAGCCGATTTTGATGTTTTTTTTTTTCAAATTGAAGCCTTCAAATCTATCATTTCAGTTTTGACATTTTCATAACTCAGAAGTACTGCTGTTCAGAAATTTCCAAATTCAAGTAATCCAACAGGCCTTTTTCATAAAACGAGATTGAGTCAGTTTTTGGCTCTAAACTTTGTTAATTCTGCGCCGATTTTTTTTTTTTTCGTTGCTCAGAAACTTCAAAATTTAGAAATTACAATCATCAAAATTTTTTTTCAAAAAAAAAATTACATTTAGTCAGTTTTTCGCTCAAAACTTCGTTATTTCTGAGCCGATTTTGATGATTCTTTCCTCAAATTAAATTCAATTAAATCCTCTACAAATCTGTCATTTCAGTTTTGACAGTTTCATGACTCAGAAGCTTTAAAATTGCTGCTCAGTAATTTCAAAATTCAAATGAGCCAACAGTCCTAAAAAACGACATTGTCAGTTTTGCCTCAGAACTTTGTTACTTCTGAGCCGATTTTCATGATTTTTTTAAATGAAGCCAATTAAATTCTCTACAAAGCTGCCAATTTAGTTTTGACAGTTTCGTTGCTCAGAAGCTTCAAAATTTAGTAATTACAATGATCAAAATTGAAAAAAAAAAAAAAAAATGACATTGACTCAGTTTTTGGCTCAAAACTTCGTTATTTCTGAGCCGATTTTGATGATTCCTTTTTCAATTTGTAGCCAATTAAATTTTTTACAAATCTGTCATTTCAATTTTGACACTTTCATAACTCAGAAGCTTCAAAATTGCTGTTCAGAAATTTCAAAATTCAATAAGTGAGCCAATAGGCGTTTTTCAAAAAACGACATTGAGTCAGCTTTCGGCTCAAAACTTCGGTAATTCTGAGCCGATTTTGATGAATTTTTTTTTAAATGAAGCCAATTTTGACAATTTCGTCGCTCAGAAGCTTCAAAATTTGAAAATTACAGCTAGCAAATTTTTATTTTTTTTTTTTAACCGACATTAGGTCAGTTTTCAGCACAAAACTTCGTTTTTTCTGAGCCGAATTTGATAATTCTTCTTTCAAATTGAAGCCAATTGAATTTTTCACAAATCTGTCATTTCAGTTTTGACAGTTTCATAACTCAGAAGCTTCAAAATTGCTGCTTAAAAATTTCAAAATTCAAGTAAGCTAACAGGTATTTTCCAAATACGACATTGAGTCAGTTTTTGGCTCAGAACTTCGGTAATTTTAAGCCGATTTTAATGAATTTTTTTTTAAAATGAAGCAAATTAAATTCTCTACAAAGCTGTCAATTTAGTTTTGACAGGTTTAATTGCTCAGAAGCTTCAAAATTCAAAAATTACAATGAGCGAAGTTTTCTTTTTCAAAAATAACGACATTGAAAGAGTTTTTGGCTCACAACTTCGTTACTTTTGAGCCAATTTTGATGATTCTTTTTTCAAATTGAAGCCAATTAAATTCTCTACAAATCTGTTATTCCATTTTAGACAGTTCCATAACTCTGTAAACGTAATTAGGCTCAAACTAAAGCAAATTAAATTCTCTACAAATAGCTGGTTATCCAATCCCTCAAACATTTTCCTAATTGAAAAAATGAGCGCCTGGAATATAAAAATAATTAAAAATCCAACAAACATATTGTATACTATGGAATTTGAACTTGAAAAATTCAAAAGCTGTCAGCTATTCAATCTAAAAAATAAAAATCTGTAGAATACTAGAAATTTCTAACACATTTCCTTTGCATGTGCGCTTTTATGTAACAATTATTTTTGCCTCAAAAACACTTAAAACTGCCTTGCGTGATTTTCCAAACATTTTAAGGGTCAGCTTACCTTATATTTGAAACTATGGTTAATGTACCCCTCAATGCATAAATATGCCCGTTTGTATCGATTTTGTATTTCTGGGTTACCTTCATTGCGGCCTTTTCAAGGCAATTTTTAGAAAAAAAATTACCTACTCTAATAATTTCCCTTCATTAAGTATTCAAGGCGCAAAAGGATAATCGAGGCTTTATATTTAGCTCCCTAATTGCGCTACACTCTTTATTAATTTGTTTATCGTTGTAAAATAGTGCGCATTTTTAAGGAAATATTACGAGGAAAGTGAAAAGAATCCAAATCATGTTTACATGTCCAAGACTATTTTTAGCCACCTTGCTGGTAAACAATTTTCATTTGGTTTTCCAGCATTTCAGTTTTCAAGTAACAATAGTGCAAGATTGATTAGTGATCTTTTTAAATCATGTAAGCTAAATTATTATTATATTTAACAGGAACTTTGACAGGATGTAGTTGTGTGTACATTAACCACAGTGGAAAAGTTTTGTAAGCTATTTTTAAATATTGCAAGGATTTGAGATTTTTCCCAAAAAAATCCAACCTTGTATATCAAAGGGAAGTATTTTATTCCTCAAAATTAAAACAAAGCATTTTCTAATAAACTTAATGAAATAAGTAGGCAATGTTAATAAAAACTAGACTCAATGCTGCTCGAATTGCAGTCTTTTGTTGATTTTGGTGCTGATTTTGTGTTGTTTTTTTCTTGGTACCATGTGAGTATTTTTTTTTACTAAGGGGCTAAAACAGTTTTTGGTACTAACAGACAAATATCTTTGAATTATTTTTGTTTTAGGACAGAAGTCGTGAATCCGAGCAAAATGCCAACTTCCGGTATAGCTGAAGAAGCGGCCCTTTTAGGGTAAGAATCGAAAATAAACCAAAAATTACATTTTATTTTTGAGTTTTAATGTGTGTGAGCTTTACCTACGCCAACTGAATTTTCGAAATGGTCAGTGAGTGAAAATAAATTGCTCTTACTGACGTCCAAATTCTATTTTGAATTACAGTAAAGTTGTTTAATTATTAAAAATTTACCATGACGCAGCTTGTATATTGATTCTCCAGAGTGCATTTAAATTTTGATTTATTAAGTATTTAATTTGACACACTTAATTTTTTTTTTTAAATTTAGCTCATTTTCGACTATTGAAAATTCAAAGTTAGTTGGAAATGAATTAATTCCTCATTATTTCCAAGTGATTGTTTTGATCGGTAAGAAAAGTTCATATTTTTGGTATTTAGGGTTGCTCTTAAATAATTGCTTGTAGTTTCGTAAATTTTCAACCAATCAGCTTGAATTATAGATGGTTGAAAAGAGGATTCAATTCTCTATAAAATTGCATAAAACGGTTAAGGTGGCTTTTATAGTTTCTGAAATATTAGGCTTTAAAGTTGAGATTTGGTTGAAATTTTGTTTAATACTTCACAGTGATATAACGCGGAAATTGTACGTTAAAATATAGGATATTGACTTATTGGATATGTTTTGTAGCTTTTGATAAGAGCTTCAATATAAAAAAGAGTTTGACTTCGTAGCTATTATGGATACCGATATATTGACGATCAAAGATTTTGAATAAAAAATTCAATCAAAAAATTTTCAATCAAACTATAAGTGCCAATGAGCTGAAATTTACAGGGATTGTAATCCCTTGATTGGGATAAAATTCAGTGAAAGTTTCAGCTTTCTATCTATAATAGAAAAAAAGTTATGACCTTTCAAAGTTTTCCAAAATCTAAATCATAAGGTAGGTAGGTACCTGCTTACTAAAACGATGAAATTTCAATTTTTTTTTTTGTCAAGATTTCGTATCCTAATGGTCAATCAACGTCCCCCAAACTCCATACACTAAATTATTCTCAGATTTGAAGCCGAAATCTATGAAAAAAGGCACTCAGAAAAATTGAAAAATTGATAAATCACCCCAAATTGCCTAACACGATTTTATCTCAGGAATTATAAGTGCAAATGAGCTGAAATTTTCAGGGATTGTAGTCCTTTGAAAGGGATAAAATTCAGTGACAGTTTCAGCTTTCTATCTATAATAGAAAAAAAGTTATGACCTTTCAAAGTTTTCCAAAATCTAAATCATAAGGTAGGTAGGTACCTTCTTACTAAAACGATGAAATTTCAAATTTTTTTTGTCGAGATTTTGTATCCTAATGGTCAATCAACATACCCCAAACTCCATACACTAAATTATTCTCAGATTTGAGGCCGAAATCTATGAAAAAAGGCACTCAGAAAAATTGAAAAATTGATAAATCACCCCAAATTGCCTAACACGATTTTATCTCAGGAATTATAAGTGCAAATGAGGTGAAATTTTCAGGGATTGTAGTCCTTTGAAAAAGATAAAATTCAGTGAAAGTTTCAGCTTTCTATCTATACTAGAAAAAAAGTTATGACCTTTCAAAGTTTTTTAAAATCTAAATGATAAGGTAGGTACCTTCTTACTAAAACGATGAAATTTCAAATTTTTTTTTGTCAAGATTTTGAATCCTAATGGTCAATCAACATATCCCAAACTCCATACACTAAATTATTCTCAGATTTGAAGCCGAAATCTATGAAAAAAGGCACTCAGAAAAATTGAAAAATTGATAAATCACCCCAAATTGCCTAACACGATTTTATCTCAGGAATTATAAGTGCAAATGAGCTGAAATTTTCAGGGATTGTAGTCTTTTGAAAGGGATAAAATTCAGTGAAAGTTTCAGCTTTCTATCTATACTAGAAAAAAAGTTATGACCTTTCAAAGTTTTTTAAAATCTAAATGATAAGGTAGGTACCTTCTTACTAAAACGATGAAATTTCAAATTTTTTTTTGTCAAGATTTTGAATCCTAATGGTCAATCAACATATCCCAAACTCCATACACTAAATTATTCTCAGATTTGAAGCCGAAATCTATGAAAAAAGGCACTCAGAAAAATTGAAAAATTGATAAATCACCCCAAATTGCCTAACACGATTTTATCTCAGGAATTATAAGTGCAAATGAGCTGAAATTTTCAGGGATTGTAGTCTTTTGAAAGGGATAAAATTCAGTGAAAGTTTCAGCTTTCTATCTATACTAGAAAAAAAGTTATGACCTTTCAAAGTTTTTTAAAATCTAAATGATAAGGTAGGTACCTTCTTACTAAAACGATGAAATTTCAAATTTTTTTTTGTCAAGATTTTGAATCCTAATGGTCAATCAACATATCCCAAACTCCATACACTAAATTATTCTCAGATTTGAGGCCGAAATCTATGAAAAAAGGCACTCAGAAAAATTGAAAAATTGATAAATCACCCCAAATTGCCTAACACGATTTTATCTCAGGAATTATAAGTGCAAATGAGCTGAAATTTTCAGGGATTGTAGTCCTTTGAAAGGGATAAAATTCAGTGAAAGTTTCAGCTTTTTATCTATACTAGAAAAAAAGTTATGACCTTTCAAAGTTTTTTAAAATCTAAATGATAAGGTAGGTACCTTCTTACTAAAACGATGAAATTTCAAATTTTTTTTTGTCAAGATTTTGAATCCTAATGGTCAATCAACATATCCCAAACTCCATACACTAAATTATTCTCAGATTTGAGGCCGAAATCTATGAAAAAAGGCACTCAGAAAAATTGAAAAATTGATAAATCACCCCAAATTGCCTAACACGATTTTATCTCAGGAATTATAAGTGCAAATGAGGTGAAATTTTCAGGGATTGTAGTCCTTTGAAAAAGATAAAATTCAGTGAAAGTTTCAGCTTTCTATCTATACTAGAAAAAAAGTTATGACCTTTCAAAGTTTTTTAAAATCTAAATGATAAGGTAGGTACCTTCTTACTAAAACGATGAAATTTCAAATTTTTTTTTGTCAAGATTTTGAATCCTAATGGTCAATCAACATATCCCAAACTCCATACACTAAATTATTCTCAGATTTGAGGCCGAAATCTATGAAAAAAGGCACTCAGAAAAATTGAAAAATTGATAAATCACCCCAAATTGCCTAACACGATTTTATCTCAGGAATTATAAGTGCATATGAGGTGAAATTTTCAGGGATTGTAGTCCTTTGAAAGGGATAAAATTCAGTGAAAGTTTCAGCTTTGTATCTATACTAGAAAAAAAGTTATGACCTTTCAAAGTTTTTTAAAATCTAAATGATAAGGTAGGTACCTTCTTATTAAAACGATGAAATTTCAAATTTTTTTTTGTCAAGATTTTGAATCCTAATGGTCAATCAACATATCCCAAACTCCATACACTAAATTATTCTCAGATTTGAAGCCGAAATCTATGAAAAAAGGCACTCAGAAAAATTGAAAAATTGATAAATCACCCCAAATTGCCTAACACGATTTTATCTCAGGAATTATAAGTGCAAATGAGGTGAAATTTTCAGGGATTGTAGTCCTTTGAAAGGGATAAAATTCAGTGAAAGTTTCAGCTTTTTATCTATACTAGAAAAAAAGTTATGACCTTTCAAAGTTTTTTAAAATCTAAATGATAAGGTAGGTACCTTCTTACTAAAACGATGAAATTTCAAATTTTTTTTTGTCAAGATTTTGAATCCTAATGGTCAATCAACATATCCCAAACTCCATACACTAAATTATTCTCAGATTTGAGGCCGAAATCTATGAAAAAAGGCACTCAGAAAAATTGAAAAATTGATAAATCACCCCAAATTGCCTAACACGATTTTATCTCAGGAATTATAAGTGCAAATGAGCTGAAATTTTCAGGGATTGTAGTCCTTTGAAAGGGATAAAATTCAGTGAAAGTTTCAGCTTTCTATCTATACTAGAAAAAAAGTTATGACCTTTCAAAGTTTTTTAAAATCTAAATGATAAGGTAGGTACCTTCTTATTAAAACGATGAAATTTCAAATTTTTTTTTGTCAAGATTTTGAATCCTAATGGTCAATCAACATATCCCAAACTCCATACACTAAATTATTCTCAGATTTGAAGCCGAAATCTATGAAAAAAGGCACTCAGAAAAATTGAAAAATTGATAAATCACCCCAAATTGCCTAACACGATTTTATCTCAGGAATTATAAGTGCAAATGAGCTGAAATTTTCAGGGATTGTAGTCTTTTGAAAGGGATAAAATTCAGTGAAAGTTTCAGCTTTATATCTATACTAGAAAAAAAGTTATGACCTTTCAAAGTTTTCCAAGATCTAAATCATAAGGTACGTACCTTCTTACTAAAACGATGAAATTTCAATTTTTTTTTTGTCAAGATTTTGAATCCTAATGGTCAATCAACATATCCCAAACTCCATACACTAAATTATTCTCAGATTTGAAGCCGAAATCTATGAAAAAAGGCACTCAGAAAAATTGAAAAATTGATAAATCACCCCAAATTGCCTAACACGATTTTATCTCAGGAATTATAAGTGCAAATGAGCTGAAATTTTCAGGGATTGTAGTCCTTTGAAAGGGATAAAATTCAGTGAAAGTTTCAGCTTTCTATCTATACTAGAAAAAAAGTTATGACCTTTCAAAGTTTTTTAAAATCTAAATGATAAGGTAGGTACCTTCTTACTAAAACGATGAAATTTCAAATTTTTTTTTTGTCAAGATTTCGTATCCTAATGGTCAATCAACATCCCCCAAACTCCATACACTAAATTATTCTCAGATTTGAAGCCGAAATCTATGAAAAAAGGCACTCAGAAAAATTGAAAAATTGATAAATTACCCCAAATTGCTTAACACGATTTTATCTCAGGAACTATAAGTGCAAATGAGCTGAAATTTTCAGGGATTGTAGTCCTTTGAAAGGGATAAAATTCAGTGAAAGTTTCAGCTTTCTATCTATAATATAAAAAAATTTATGACCTTTTAAAGTTTTCCAAAATCTAAATCATAAGGTTCTTACTAAAACGATGAAATTTCAAATTTATGAGAAAAAAAGTTACGAAAATGTTCTCAGATTCTAACATGGTGTCAAAGCTTTGCTTGCAGTTTTGATAATTCTCAACGAATGAACTTGTATTAGAGGTTTCCTGAAAGAGAATAAAATTGTCTATAAAACCTTCAAAAATTGTATTGGTTGCTTTTATATGTTTCGAAAAATTAGGCTTCAAAGTTGAAATTTTATCAAAAACTTCAAGATCAAAAAGTTCAAAAACCATAAGTGATAAAAATATTTTCTAAATAACGTATTGAAGTACTCAATGAGAGCTACAAACTCTGAAAAATTTGACTTGATACCTCTCATATTTACCGCAATATTGTCAATGAAAGATTATGAATAAAAAATCCTGAAAAATCAAATATTTTTCTGACTTAGTCTTAAATAACTGCTCGTAGTTTCCTTAATTTTCAACAGATCTACTTGAATTAAAGATTTTTTAAAAGAAAACTGAATTCTCTATAAATCTACATATACTTTAAATGGCTTTTATAATCTTTGACAAATCCAGCTTCAAAAATTACTTACTCAAAATTTTGTTTCAAACTTCACAGTGATGTTATTCGGAAATTATAAGTTGCAAGTAATGACGAATTTCAGATTTTTTGTAGCTTATACTTCAATCAAAAACAATTAAATGTACCTTTATTTTTAACCAGTCAATATTTTGTTTGGGTAAAAACGCACAAAAACACTTGGAATACCTCCAAAAAAAAAAACCCTATTTAAAATTCATGTCAACATCCACACATTTTCATTCCAGCACGATGCCATCTGACTCGATGGACGACATCGAACTCAAAAACATCAAATTGCAATTTCCACACGTCCGATCGATGTCCAGGGAGGATTCCAATGCTTTAGAAGAAGTTGTGGAAACTGACCGTGGAAACGTGGTTGTTGCCATACAAGGCAACAGAAACAAACCCGCTATCGTGACTTATCATGATTTAGGTTTAAATTGTACGTAAAATGATTTAAAATATTGATTATAGATTATTTGATTGTTGTTGTAGATGTTTCAAATTTCCAAGCTTTCTTCAACTACATCGACATGAGGGCTTTGATAGAAAACTTTTGCATTTATCACGTCAATGCGCCTGGACAAGAGGAAAATGCTCCAACATTGCCTGAAGAGTAAGTACCTATCTAATCTATTTTCAATATTAATAACCATAAATCCAGTTTTATTTATCCAACAATGGACGAACTGGCTGACCAACTAGTCCAAGTTGTGCGACATTTCAATCTGAAACAGTTCATCGGTTTTGGAGTGGGAGCTGGCGCCAACATTTTGTGCCGCTACGTCCTCAACCATCCAGAAATGGTAAAACAATCCAGACTCTTATGGTCCTAGTGTTTTAATGTAGCTATTACAGGTGTCCGCTCTATGTTTGATCAACTGTACGAGTACGCAACCCGGCTGGATTGAGTGGGGCTACCAGAAACTGAACACCCGGCATTTGAGGTCCAAAGGCATGACCCAAGGGGTTTTGGATTATTTGATGTGGCACCATTTTGGACGAGTAAGAATTTTCATTGTTCAATTATTTATTTACTTATCTCAAGTAATTCCTAAACATAATCAAAATTAAACAAACAAAAAAAAATACTGCACAAAAATAAAAACATAGATATATATATAAATAACATACAGAAGTAATCTCAGTTAAAGTCAAGCTGCATAAAAATTCTGATAAAAACAGATAGACAAAAGTAGATAAAACAAAAAATGAATAGGAGTCACAGTTAAAATTGCATAAACATTATCTTATGCCTGATTTGTGCAGAGAGTAGTTGAAAATATCACAGTCACAGTAGAAAAGGTAAAGCAAGATAAACATTCTTTGGTGTTCCAGACTTTTTAGTCCACAAAGCATCAGCCCAGTTTCACAGGTTAGTCCGTCTGAAGTAAAATGGTGCTTATATAGAAGGTACTTTGTGAACTTATTTTCTAGTCTGTTTTTTTTTGGATATTGTACTTGGGGGTCCAAATAGTTGAGCAGTATTCTAGTGTGCTACGGACAAGTGAGTAATACACAGCATACTACTTTGGTATTGTCACGGCTTTGGGTATCGTGACAGAAATGTTGGGTTCGTTGTTCATTTAGTCCAAAATCAAAGTTCAATTAACACAGCAATAATTTTATTCCACGTAACTATATACTCTGACACTAATTACTAACACAACAATGAAACTCTTCACAAACTTAAACTTACAAACCAATGCCGGCCTTTTTATATATCCCTAAATCTATTCATGTACAATCTAGAATATACGCGATAACTAGTCTTCTAGAAAACCCCGCAAGAATCTCGCTAAATTGGATTCTTGACATCCTGGCGGCGTAACATACAACTTTTGTATTTACATCTTTCATCTACTTGTAAAGGTGAAGGCTGTAGGTGGGGCGTCAATATATAAAAAAACACCCTGTACTTGAAAAATACATAAGAAGCGCAACTGGGCTCCAAATTTGAGGGGTGCTGCAGCACCATTTTTTTTTTTTTATGGGATTTGATGGAAAGCAAATGAGACGGCACGAAAGTTTTTACTTACGTCATCGATGACGTCATAACTTAGAGAAAAAGTTAAGTCATAGATTAATTCATAGAGCACCTTGGAAATTATTGTTTTGTAATACATTTTTTAACTTAGAATAGAGTTTATTCAGTTATCCAAAAATATATAAATAAATTTCTCCTGGAATGATTTTTCACTGGAAAATTTCGAAATTTTCCTCTAATGAGTTCCTAACTTTCGTCTTTCTCCTATAAAAATTTCAAAATTTTCCCGTTGCCAGTTTTCCAGAAAAAAATTAAAATGTAAGAGGTGAATTTTCCTTAATTTTGCTTAAATAACTCAATTTTCCAGAATTTTTTCTGGAGTCATTTTTCACTAAAAAATTTTGAAATTGTCTCATATTGAGTTCTCACTTTCTTCTGGAAAAATTCCACAATTTTTGCTTTGTCAGTTTTCTAAAAAAAAATTGAAATGTGAAAGGATGAATTTTGCTTAAAAAAGTCAATTTTCTAGAACTTTCCTCTTGACTTTCCTTGGAGTGATTTTTCACTAGAAAATTTTGAAATTTTCCTATAATGAGCTCCTCATTTTCTTCTTTCTCTTGAAAAAACTCCACAAGTTTTGCTTAATTAGTTTTCCAGAAATAAATTAAAATGTGAGAGGATGAGTTTTTCTTAATTTTACTTGAAAAAGTTATTTTTTCAAAATTTTTCCTGAAGCGATTTTCAATTGGAAAATTTTGAAATTTTCTTATAATGAGCTCCTAACTTTCCTTTTTTTCCTCTTTTACCACTTTTCCAGAAAAAAATTGAAATGTGTGAGGATGAATTTTCATTAATTTTACTTGAAAAAGTCAATTTTCCAGAAATTTCCCTGGAGTGATTTATCACTAGAAAATTTCGAAATTTCCCTATAATTAGCTCCTCACTTTCCTCTTTTTCCTGGAAAATTTTCAAAGTTTTCCCTCTGCCAGTTTTCCAAAAAAAAGTTAAAATGTAAGAAGGTGAATTTTCCTCAATTTTGCTTAAATAAGTCAATTTTCCAGAATTTTTTATGGAGTGATTTTTCATTGGAAAATTTTAAAACTTTGCAACAATTTTCTTTTCCCAGATTTCTAGAAAAAAAATAAAATATAAGAGGGTGAATTTTCCTCAATTTTGCTTAAAAAAGTTGGTTTTTCAAAATTTTTCCTGGAGTGATTTTTCTCTAGAAAATTTTGAAATTTTCGTAAAATGAGCTCCTTATTTTCCTCTTATTCCTGGGAAATTTTCAAAATTTTTTCTTAGCCAATTTTCCAGAAAAAAATTAAAATGTAAGAGGGTGAATTCTCCTGAAAAAGTCAATTTTTCAAAATTTTTGCTGGAGTGAATTTTCACTGGAAAATTTTGAAATTTTCCTATAATGAGCTTTGGTCTGTAGCAACACCCAAAATCAAGCGATTTCGAACTTTTTGGCCTGTAGCAACATGGAATTTTTTGTAGCGACACTCAAATATAGGCAATTTCGTGGTTTTTGGTCTGTAGCAACACACATTTTCTGTAGCAACGTCCAAATTTGACAGTTTAATTCCTAGATTTTAATGTAAATGAAATTTTCAGGTTGTAGCAACACGAACATTATTTGTAGCAACACCCGATTTTAGGGGTTTTGATCTGTAGCAACATCCAAATTCGAGCGATTTCGAACTCTTTGGCCTGTAGCAATACGGAATTTTTTGTAGCAATATCCAAATATAGGCGATTTCGAGGTTTTTGATCTGTAGCAATACGAAATTTTGTTGCTATAAACTCTTAAATATTCAAATTCGTGTTGCTAATTTTTTTTTGTATGTAGCAACATCGAATTTGTTGCTACATCACTACATATTGTTGCTACAAATGCCGCATATAGAAAAAAAATTAGTGTTGCTACACAAATTTCGAGTTTATTTTTCTGTAGCATCGTGAATAGGGTACTTGCATGGAAAATTAAATTGATTATTGTTTATTGCAAACTGTAGGAAATCGAAAAAAAATCGTTACTTTTTTTTCATTTCGCCCAAATATGATTATTTCGGAAGTTATACAAATATTAAGTTTTGTATATATAGACATACTGAGCATGTGCGACGTCATAAAGTATTATACCTGATGACGTCATAGGCATATTTCATAGCGTTGTATCTCCGTCAATTTTTGACTAAGAAGAAAAAGAAAAAACACGTGTTGACTTATTTTTCATGGACTATCGAAATCAGCAATAAAAAAATTTTGATGCAAGGGGCCTATTGTGACACACATGTCAAAACAAGGCGTTTCCCAACATTCACCGCACAATTAAAAAAAAAAACAAAAAAAAATATATATATATTTATGTAACGTCCCTCCCTCTCATAAAACCGATAATTTTTTTTTGTTGACATTTATGACAATGACATTTTTAACACTTTGAGGCAATTGTTAAGATTCACTACGATTTTATTTTGTTGAAATTTTGAGGCATTTGTTAACATTCACAATTTTTGCTTTGCCAGTTTTCCAGAAAAAAATTGAAATGTGAAAGGATGACTTTCCTTGGAGTGATTTTTCATTAGAAAATTTTAAAATTTTCCTATAATGAGCTCCCCATTTTCTTCTTGATCCTGGAAAAATTTCACAAGTTTTGCTTTATTCGTTTTCCAGAAATAAAATGAAATGTGAGAGGATGAGTTTTTCTCAATTTTACTTGAGAAAGACTTTTTTTCAGAATTTTTCCTCGAGCGATTTTCCATTGGAAAATTTTGAAATTTTCTTATAATGAGCTCCTGACTTTCCTTTTTTTCCTCTTTTGCCAGTTTTCCAGAAAAAAATTGAAATATGAGAAGATGAATTTTCCTTAATTTTACTTGAAAAAGTCAATTTTCCAGAATTTTCCCTGTAGTGATTTCTCCCTGGAAAATTTCGAAATTTCCCTATAATGAGCTCATCACATTTCTCTTTTTCTTGGAAAATTTCTAAAATTTTCCCTTTGCCAGTTTTCTAGAAAAAAATTGTAATGTAAGAGGGTGAATTTTCCTTAATCACGCTTAAATAAGTCAATTTTCCAGAATTTTTCATTGAGTGATTTTTCATTCGAAAATTTTAAAATTTTGCTATAATGAGCTCTTCACTTTTCTCTTTTTTCTGGAAAATTTTCACAATTTTCCTTTTGCCAGTTTCCCAGAAAAAAATTAAAATGTAAGAGGGTGAATTTTGCCTAAAAAAGTCAATTTCCCAGAATTTTTCCTGGAGTGATTTTCCACTGGAAAATTTTGAAATTTTCCTATAATGAGCACCTCACTATTCTCTTTCTTCTGGAAAAATTTCACAATTTTTCCTTTGCTAGATTTCTAGAAAAAAATTAAAATATAATTGGGTGAATTCTCTTTAATTTTGCTTAAAAAAGTTCCTGGAGTGATTTTTCATATATTATAATAAATACGGTCCTTATTCTTGAGTTGAGAGAAAATTGTACTCCCCGGGGAGCTCCCTGCCTGATTTTTCTACTCCTTCATAATTTCTCTGGATTTTAAAAAGCTGTATTCTTGAAAATAAGGAGTAGAAAGGAGTAAGAGAAATAGCGAAAACTGCTGCCAGATTTTAGTACAAAATTCTGACCAATCACAAATGATGAAAATTGTGACAGTGACAGTTTTTTGACAAATGCGCTTTTTGTCGTAAACTATTAAGCTTTTTAAATTTATCTGTGGCTTATCTAACAATTCTTAGGCAGGCTATATAAGCAAATAGACAAGTGTGCAGTGGGTAGTGGGTGAGAAAACCCTTTCTTTATTTAGAATATTTCAAAGGTGAGTTAAGTGCTTTATGCATTTATATTATAAGTAATAATAAATACCAACATTCAATGCTTTTTAGGAAGTAGTTTAGAACAAGAATGGCACACACACACATATTAAACAAGTACGAAAGGAAATCATGCTTATTTTCATCAAAGCCAGACCGAAATTATTTGCTGCAAAGTTTTCACCTGATTTTTCAATGGCAC